TTTGCATAGAAGGGACACTTTGGCCTATGTATCTCTCATGGTGTAGGCAGCCCTGCCACTATGAAAAGACTCAGTAGCCCTGCCTGATTTTGAATCTAATCTTGTTTTCCTCTCAATGAGTACTTTAGTTACACTTTTTTGGATCTCTTTGTTCCTGCTTTATTACACTCTCATCTTCAAGTTCTTGTGACATTCATGGGCACCACTGGGGGAGAGCAGGGAACCTGGTTTCTTCAAGAGTGCTTATTTGCAATGTAATCTTGAATATATTCAAGCTCTCCTAACATGAAATGGAGCCCTTTGTTGTGTTATTCATTGGCTTTCCCCTGCCAGCCCAGCTTTTTCCAGTCTTGTTAGATTGCTGTAGCAAAAATTACACAGTAGTCCGATATCACCTTAAAGACTAATAAATGTATTTCATTTCAGCAGGAGCTCATGCTGAAAGGTCATACTGAAATGTTGTCAGTCCTGAAGGTACTACCAGGCTCCTGCGTAATGAAGGCTCAAAACAGAGAGTTAATTTTATGTATGAGCGGTGGCTCAGTGGTTAAGACGCTGAACTGCAGACTGGAAGGCCGGTAGTTCAGCAGTTCGAGACCCTAGTGCCACATGACGGAGTGAGCTCCTGTCTCTGGTCCCAGCTCCTGCCAGCCTAGCAGTTCGAAAGCAAGAAATTTCAAGTAGATAAATAGGTACTTCTTTGGAGGGAAGGTAACAGCGTTCCGTGCGCCTTGGCGTCTCTCGTCATGCCAGCCACATGACCATGGAGATGTCTTTGGACAGCACTGGCTCTTTGGCTTGGAAACGGAGATGAGCACTGCAGCCTAGAGTCGAATTCGACTGGCTTTTGAGCAATCTGATTAGTCATTTGTTTCCCATTCTGTTTCATATCCCTGGAAAGTTTGTGGGGTTAAATGTACCAAACTGTACTGAACAAAATTCGAGTTCAGTGGCACCTCTAAGACAAACAAAGCTTTATTCAAGGTATAAGCTTTCATGGGCACTCACACTTCTTCAGTGTACTGAGTGATTCTTTTCCATTGTGGCTAGCTGGGAAGTAAGCACTGTGGCTCCAGCTCTTAGGTGAGGGGTGGGGAGGTCTAGCCGGCATGTATCCTTCAAACCAGAGTCAAAGAAACAGACATGCACAGCTGGACAAAGAATGGGGCTGAGGGCACACAGCGAGCCCCTTCCCCTTGAAATGACCCTCCCCCAGGCTGCAATTGGGCCTACCATGTGTCTCCATGGAAGGGGAATGGCCCAACTTTCCCGGCACTCTGCAGCCTGAATCCCTCCCAGCCTGCATCTGTGACCAACCTGGCTTCTAGCTGGCTCTCCCCACACCTGACGCCACAAAAGTCGGGCTGCAGCTGAGTCAGGCCCTCCTCACTTTGCTTGGAAACCCAACATCAAGCACTAAAGCACTGGGTCAGTTTGCTCTATGAGCACAGATCAATGCTCTTGTCTACTAATCCCTTCCCCTCCCCTTGGGGCGACATCAGTCACTCCGGAAGGATTCCTGGGTATTCTCCCAGCTGTGGAGGAGAGTAGCCGAGAGATTGCATTCATCAGACTATTTCAGGAAATGCAGATTCCATCCGCAGTGTACCGATAAAAGAGATTTGTTGTTTGGATGCAAAATACGTTTTAAGGTTGTCATGGCCTTAGAGGAATGATAATAATATTAAAACCCCTTTGCATTATCCAAATAACAGAAAGCAGGAAGCACTATGATGATTGCTTGAATCTATTCTGGTCTTGGATATCACCAAGCAGAGCAATCATGATCCCTACCGTATGAAGTACTAAGAAATGCCCATATTATAAAGCATGATTATAATCTAAGCAGCAAATACATTTTGGGGTATATTACCAAGGAAGGAGTTATGTGGGTGGTCTATTTATTTACATGCATTTGATTTGAAAAAATCAAACTTGCCATGCAACAAAGCTGAATTTGTGACAACACGGTGCCAACAAGTTTTGAGAACTAGCATTAAAGTGTGGCTGAATTGACAACGAGTAATTATTTTTATTAGGTACTATAATACCCGTTTGTAAAAGTTAATTATATGGATAGTCTGCTTGATAGTCTTTTCACATTCAAATCATTTGCTTACCTGACAAAGGATTGTTGGTCGCAGCCAATAATTCTAATATCTAATTGCTTTAACAGTATTTTTTAATGTAAGTCATACATACTCAGATGAAAAAAAGGTTGCCAGGAGCTGTGTTGGTCCAAGTCCAAAAATAGAAGCCACATGTTAGAGAATGAGATTGATATTTGCTTTATGGACTACTTGTTGCTACACACAATGAACCATGCACACACACATAGGCTCAGAAAGTTGTACACTTTAAGTCACCCGTTGTGATACTACACATAGAAGGTGCCTGCACATGCCTTACATGTAAATGAGGTTTCAGCTACACAGCTACCCAGCCTGGTGAAGAAGCACACACCTCCATTATTGTGAGCAATGAGAAAAAACAACTCTAGGAAGAGACAGCCCCCATTGCAGAACTGTTTCTGGTCAGGTACCACCCATCACTGCTTTGTTCCTGAGAAGGCATTTCCTGCCAAATGGACATTTGGTTTTCAATAGAATGGCCAACTTCATCAGCACTACAATGAAGTTTCCTGACGCCTGGATTTCACACCTGTCCAGATGCCATACTCTGATTAAGGTCTTAGATTGCAATATTGGCCATCCCTTCTAGGTAACCACCCCTCCCTCCATGCAACCAATAGGATTGTTTTTGGGATGGACTAACAGGTAGGTGGGTCGAGAGGTTGGCACAGTCAACACCCATCTCTTGGACCCCCGATAAAAGGAGAGAACCAGTCACATGGCCCTCTCTCTTTCCTACCTGATCAGCTAGCATCTCCCCCGCAACAACCCCTGTCTGCTTTTACCCCTCTTGAGTCCCACTTGCTATCCCCAACCCTTGCCTCTACTGCCCACACGTTCTGGCTGGTTCTGGCCGTGTGTGAATTCCTTAATTTTCCATTTCTTCCCATCCGTTCTTCATTGGAACAACCAAGCTGCAAGACAGATAAGTATCGCCCACCATCACCCTACCTGCTAATGCAACTGTGTTTATTTTCATACTGTAATTCTAAGGAACTTGATTGAATGTGTGAGTGCATCAGTATTGTTTGTATGAGATATATTTTAAAGTAAAAGACATCTATTTTAACCACAACAGCCTCGAATCCTTTACTGGAAACCCTTGGTGAGAACAGGACCTTGGTATAAACTGGCAAGAACCGAGTTATAAATTGCCAATTGCTGTAAATAAAGCAATTCTGCTAACACACACAATACCTTTCATGAAGACCAGTCCAAATTACAGAAAACATTTTGTATAATTTCGGTAACAGAAAGCACTGTCAAGTCCCAACCAACTGATAGCGACCCCTCATGGGGTTTTCCAGACAAGAGATGAACAGAAATGCTTTGCCATTTCCTGTCTCTGTGCAGCAGTCCTGGAGTGCCATACTGCTCTCCCATCCAGAGACGTAAACTACAGGGGGGCAGTGGGGCGCAAACTGCTGGGATTTCCCAGAGAGGCCTATGCCCCCTGCTTCCAGGTAGCATCATGAAGCATCATGAGGCTTAAACTGTGCAGTCTCATCCTCTCCACTCGCACAGAGTGCCAACTCCACTTTCTTTCTCTGGGACTTTGGGACATTTACTTGCCACACAGGAGCACCCTTCTACTGCATCACCTTATTTTTTTCCCTGGGATCTTTGGAAGTTCTGTTGGGGGGAACAGAGGCCTGTTGCTCAAATGCTGGAAGTTAAGGTGATTTTGTTATCCTGAGACTTGCAGGTTTAGAGAGAAAAAAAATGGAAGATATGGGAGTAGCCATTTTTTTTGTCTCTGCGCATCTGTACATGAAGGGGGAGGAGATAAAGCTGGTTCACCAAACATAGAAAGCGAAGTAGTTCTGCAGTCCTGGACCCTACTTCAGCCAAACAAATGCTACCATGATTTCAGGTCTAGGTATCAGAGAAGCCAGTATTTACTGTGGATTTACTGTGGATTCTGAGATGCATTTGGAGATTCATATTGAGTATCCAGTATGTGAATGGTGTAGTTGTTAGAGTGTTGGTCTAAGACTGGGGAGACTGGAATTCAAATCCCCACTTAGCCACAAAGCACACTATGTGAACTTGGGTCAGTCATACACTCTCAGCCTAAACTACATCACTGGGTAGTTGTAAGGGAAAGGGGAGGGAGCATTTCCTCTCATACACAAATGAAATATTTACTCAGATTGTCTCAGTGAAAGGAGTTCATCGCATCTTAGGTTGCCAGCCTCCAGGTGGGGCCTGGGGATCTCCCGCTTTTACAACTGATCCCCAGCCGACAGAGATTAGCTCCCCTGGAGAAAATTGATGCTTTGAAGGGTGGACTCTATGGCATTGTATTATGTTGAGGCCTCTCTCCTCTCCAAACCATGCCCTCTCCTGGCCCCAGCCCCAAAGTCTTCAGGTATTTTCCAACCCAGACTTGGCAACCCTGTCGCATCTTTCCTCTCAGAGAGCCCTCTTTGACTGAGATTCAGACTGAGCGAGAATATTTTTTTTTTAAAAAACCACATTGATTAATTGTTGATGGCATATGTTTTTGAAAATATAAATTATTTCACATTTAAATAATTTAATGTAGAGTACTAAGTGTGGGCCTGGACCAGGTTTAGCACTGTGACACCACCACCACCACCACCCCGGAAACTGAGAAGTCTATGCCCCTGCTCCCATCCACATACTAATCATGGCTGATCCTGCTTAGTTTCTGAAATCTGACAACATCACGCTAGCCTGGGCCATCTAGGTCTTAATAAAGGTTGGTTGGTTAATCTTAATAAAAGTTATTACACAGTTTTTGTCTGCAATTTTGCCATGAGTCTCGGTACTAGCTTCTCAGCCTTTTTTATTATCTCTTTGCTTTCATTTGATGGCCTTGCTTTCTCTTTCCCCCCCCCACAGACACCCCTTCACAGAGGGTACAGTTTATTCTTGGAACAGAGGATGATGATGAAGAACACATCCCTCACGACCTGTTCACAGAGCTTGATGAACTTTGTTGCCGTGAAGGAGAGGATGCTGAGTGGAGGGAGATGGCCAGGTGAATGTCTTTTGAAGGAAGTGTTTGAGTTCACGTTTGTCATTCACGGAAAACAAACAAGCAAACATGGTGGAACTTTTCAGAATCACATGGAAGTGAAAAAAAATGGCCACTGTTGTTTCAACCAGACACATCCTTTACATCCATGTACTGGTAGTCTTTGACAACACAGGGCTGCCTTCAAAGCCAGATGTTATTCTCTGGAATTAACATTTTATAGGTCAGAGCAGGTTTGGAATAAAAAAAAATTGAATTGGCAAAGAATAATAAACAATGGAGAGATCTCTCTCATTCACACACACACACACACACACAGAGAGAGAGAGAGAGAGAGAAGATATTTCATTTATCTCCAGAAGAAAGCAGAACGAGGCATTGTGCATGTAAATTAGGTTGAAACTAAGGTTCAAGAGAACAGAAAACCCTGCTGTTGCCTGTCTGCCTTTTTATTTAACTGATTTGTTCCTGATTAGATAATGTAATATAGCGAATGATTACTGTTTATCGTAATGAAGTAGAGGCGCCATTACATAATGCCTCATACAGCACTAATCCTGAAATAATAGGCTTTGGGGGGGTAAATCCTAAATCTAACATAGTTCTACTACAGCAGGCATTGATCTGGTGATAAATCTAGGGACTGTGAAGGAAAGCATTCCTTACCCTCAGCAGGCAAATTTATCCTCAAGCAATGTTGTTCTGTTTGATGGGTTTGTGTTCTTCAGTTTATTTCAAACAGAAAGATTCAGAAGTGGGGGTCTGTGGCACATAAAAGTCACTGGCCAATTTGTTCAGTGCTGGGGGGTTCCTCCTCTTCAGAGAGCCTCAGGTTTGCAGGCAGAAAGGGAAGCCCAGGTTAGGGTTGCCAACCTCCAGGTAGTAGCTGGAGATCTCCTGGTGTTACAACTGATCTCCAGGTGACAGAGATCAGTTCACCTAGAGAAAATGACTGCCTTGAAAGGTGGACTCTGTGGCATTATACCCTGCTGGGGTTCTTCCCCTCCCCAAACCTCGGCCTACTCAGGCTCTACCCCCTCCCCTAATTTCCAGGTATTTTCCAATCCAGAGCTGGAAACCCTAGACCAGGTTGATGTATCTTGTATTATTCATTAACCTTTTAGTTCAGTACCCTTCAATGTTTGGAATAAAACATGGGATCTACTGAAACATGGGGCCTACTTTTCATTTTTATCTGCTCTATTATCTTTAGGGTTGCCAAATGGGGCCGGGGGGTGGGGAATCCCCCGCTTTGGAGGCCCGATTTCCGCCCTGGCGGAATCAGGCCCCGGGGGAACTCCGCCCCCAAAGCTGCGTCACCAGAGGTGACACAGCCACGCCGCTCACGTTGGGGGCATGGCCCAGATCATCGGGGGAAAACCATATGGTTTCCCCCCCCCACGATCTGGGCCACGCCCCCAACGTGAGCACGTAGCACATCACTTCTGGTGATGTGCTGCCGGCGCGTGCGTGCATGCACCGAGAACTCCCGGAGCCCAGCGAGGCTCCCCTGCTCTGAGGGGTAAGTAGACTTGGCAACCCTAATTATCTTCCTGTTAATTTATCCAGATCTGGCCTTCTGTCTCTTTCTCTGTAGCTCCTTCTCTCCTGAGGTCTTACAGAATTGCTGCCCCTGTGGACAGTTGTGGGCTGGACTGAAGTAATGGTCTGATTCAGTATTGGGCATAGGTTCATCTATGTTTTCTGTTTTCTCTTGCTAAGAGAGTTTATTGTACTGCCATTAGTGTGGCTTGCCAGTTGAAGATCGATGAGTCATTGTGTGGTTTTAAAAAGAGGCATCCCTCTAAGTATAGCTGGAACCCTGTGTTATTAACTTTATTCAGCCTTGAATTTAATTCTATGTTATTCAGGAAAAGGTTGAAGCATGTTAAGGAGTGCCATTTCGTAATCAATCCTTTTTAAACAAGTTCTGTATTTTGGGAATGGATAATACTCTTTCTGTATGGTTGTATCCTGCTACTTGGATCAGCCTACTTACTTCATTTATACCCCTCCTTTCTCCCCAGTGGGGATCCACCATGGTTTATAGCATCCTTCTCTGCTCCGTTTTGTCCTCACAACAACCCTGTGAGGTAGGTTAGGCTGAGAGTATAGGCTGAGTAGCCCAAGGTCACCCAGTGAGGTTCCATGGCAGAGTGGAGATTTAAACTGGGGTCTCCCAGATCCTAATCTAACACTCAAACCACTATGCCACACTGGTGCTGGCTTTCCATTTGCTCAAGGCACATCCCAACAATGCAAAAGGTTGGAACATACCTTGGGTTGATAGAATGTACCACCATTTGATGTGTTCCTTCCATGAATGTACCTGATAGGGTTTTTAATTTTTGTGCCTGATAATATTTATAATATATTCTATAGTATGTGAACTGATATTCACTTTATTTGAATCTCCCGATGAGTAAGACAATGCAGTTTGGTTAAGTGGTTAAGTGCGCAGACTCTAATCTGGGAGAGCCGGGTTTGATTCCCCACTCCTCCACTCGCAGCTGCTGGATGACTTTGGGCAAGCCATAGTTCTGTCAGAGCTGTTCCTGAAAAAGAGCAGTTTCTCTCAGAGCTCTCTCAGCCCCACCTACCTCACAGGGTGTCTGTTGTGGGGAGGGGAAGGGAAAGGAGTTTGTAAGCCAGTCTGAGACTCCGAGTGAAGGGCAGGGTATAAATCCAATCTCTTCCTCTTCTTGTGTTGTATCTTAAGTGTTGTGAGAGACCCATGTTCAAATTTCTATTCAGTGTGAAGCTTTATAGATAGCTGTGACTCTCTGTGTGTGTGTGTGTGTGAAGTGCTGTCAAGTTGCAGATGACATGGCAACCCTGTAGGGTTTTCAAGGCAGACGTTCAGAGGTGGATGGCCTTTGACTGTCTCTGCATAGAAAATGGCTGCTTTGGAGGGTGTACTTTATGGTATTATACCCTGCTGAGGTCACTTCCTTCCCCAAACCTCGCCTTCCCAAGGCTTCACTCCCAAATCTCCAGGAATTTCCCAACCTGGAGATGGCAACTCTATGGGAGAACTGATCTCTGAAACTGGGAGATCCATTGTGATTCCAGGAGATCTCCAGGACCCTCCTGAAGGTTGGCAACCCTAGAAGGAAGCAGGAAAAGGGGAGAAGCTATGGGGGCTTCCTTCAACCTTTCCAGAACCAGGTCTCACCTTGATCCTCAACCTGCAACACAATTGATTTCATTTCTGATCCTATCCATCCATATTTCTTCTGCATATAGGTTGATCAGATGTAAGGGGAACAGCCAGGTATCTGTACCTTTGCCAGTTGTGCAGGAGAGACTATTTTCGCTGCTTTCTTTCATCCCCACACAGAGAACTGCAGCTTCCCATAGTTGCTTCTTCTACTTCTGCATGAGTGTTAAAAAGTAAAGGAACTCTGGTTTCCTTTACACCTGGTGTCTCTTTCTCTCTCTCTGTCTCCATAGCTTTCGAAGAAAAAAAGGTGGTGATACCATCCTTAGATCAGGGTGCAATTCACTTGTGGGCCCTGACCAATCATTTGACAACTAATAATCTAACTGAATGTTGTAGCAAAATCCCACTTTTGGAGCATTTTAATAACTTGTGTTAAGATCTATCAAGATTAGGGCTGCCAAGTCCACCCGGGGGGCGGATTTCCCCCTGCTTTGGAGGCCCGATTTCCGCCACCGCGGAATCGGGCCCCGGGGGAAACCCCACCCCGGCGTGCACGTCAGCCAGAGGTGACGTGATGACATGCATGCGGCTAAGGACTCTTCTGCTAATGGAACTAAGGACTCTTCTGCTAATGGAACAAATGGTAGGATCCAACCCCAGATGTCTTTATTTAACTTTATCCCAACAGTTCAGCCTAAGGCTGAATAGAGAATTGAACCAGGAACTTCCACTTGAAACTTCAGTTGCAGCATTCTGCTGTTTTGAAAAAGGCAAGTGGGGCTACCCTTGAAGACTGTCTGGAAACTACAATTAGTAAAGAATGCTGCGGCCAGAGTATTTCCTGGAATGGGTCCTAGTAGGGACCATATCTTTCCAGTCTTGTTCCACCTACACCGGCTTCCAGTTTGCTTCCAGGCTAAATTCAAGGTGCTGGCATTGACCTTTAAGGCCCTGTATGGCCCAGAACTAACATACCTTAAGGACCACCTTCTCCCATAAGAACCTAGCTGCTCACTCTAGTCCTCCTCAGAAGCCCTGCTTTGGTTGCCCCCACCACTTGAGGCTAGACAGGTGACAAGCCGCGAAAGGGCCTTCTTTATCATGGCACCAACACTTTGGAACTCCCTCCTCTGTCTCCCTGTATTGGTTTTTCTAGCCAGAAGGCGAAGACTTTTTTGTTTTGTCTGGCAGACCCCCAATAACAATTTTGGCCCTCTTCCTAATGTTGGTTGTTCATGTGTTTTTAATTGAATTTTATATTTTTAACTTATTTTAGGCCCCGTTCATACGAGGGGTTTTGGTCCGGGAGCGAGACAGAATGGGGGCAGATCAAACGGGTGCGATCCCACGGCAACATCTGGGAATCGTTGCCTGCCCGTCCCCGATCTGTCTCTTCCGAGCGAAAACCCGCACTAAAAAGAACCACCTACCTGGGTGGTTCTTGCGAAGTAGAGCGCCTCAAACCGGCCGTGGGATCGGCTGCGCGTCCTTGCGGCGGCACATCCCGGCCTCCGGCCGAACTGCGCATGCTTGAGCATGCGCAGTTCGGCAGCCTCCCCCTTGCCTCCGACTCTTCCTCCCCGGCATGTGATCGTGTCGGGGAGCAACGGCGCACGGTGCACGGGATCCGTGGGATCCCGCCCGCGCATATCTTTTTTGATACGGCTCTCTTTAGCCGCGCTTTGCTGGGTGTTTTCCCTGCCGTGTGGCAGGGGCCTTAGTTGTTTAAATGTTTTTATGTTTGGTGCTATGTGGACCCTGATTGGGTGGAAAGGCTGCCTAACAATTTTTGAAATAAACAAATAAATGTTTTGCTTGCATTTCTGGCTTTTCAGCTGGAAAGAGTTCATTGAACTGCTTGCCTGTTTAGGTGGTTGAAGTTTGAAGAAGATGTTGAAGATGGAGGGGAGAGGTGGAGTAAACCATACGTTGCCACTCTATCGTTACATAGTTTGTTTGAGCTGAGAAGTTGTATCCTCAATGGCACCGTGCTGCTAGACATGAGAGCAAATTCTTTAGAAGAAATTGCAGGTAAGTGTGTGCTTCGCATTGGTAATATGGAACCATGTCTTTCCTTCACCTGTATGTTTTAAAGAACTCACATTACTTAAAATGAACTAAAGTTATATGGGTTGTAATCTGTTTCAAGCACAAGACGATCATCATGATGTTTTATGCAGGGGTCATTTCCTAGAATAAGAGGTGCAGGAGCTCATTAGCACAACTCATTAGCATAACTTATTTGCATAGTCCACACCCCCTGCCATCACCGGAAGTGTGTCAGAAGGCAACACCCACCACTCAGGCTCCACTGGACTGTTTTGGATTGCTAGCTATTGGGGGGGGGGAAAGGGCCGTGCT